ATTATGAATTCGATACCGCCAAATTTGAAAAATATTTTTCTTGTAATAACTTACAAGACAGCTCTAATAATTGTGTACTAAACAATAATATAATATCAAGGAAAAAAAATAAATAATTGTATTTAACTGTGTGTTATTTTAAAAGTTAAAAATTAATTTGATTTAATATTTTTTATTTTATTTTTTCAAAACTATTCAATATTAATATCAATATTAATATTGACATGTTAGATTATTAAAAGAAATACTACTAAGTACAATAATCTTTAAAACAGTGTATGCAAATAAGTATAAATACATGTTATGAAGATGTATTTTCATAATATTGCACAAATTAATAACGATAATAAAATATTACGTAATATATTAAAAATTATTGATAATTTAAATTATTTTAATTATTAATATTTATTATATTTTTAATTTCAACTGTAAATTGCTGATTTGACACAGTTTCATAGAAGAATATTCTTTTTCCGGTTACAACTTACAAGGTTCGTACCATTTTTCTGCATAATAATCTTTCAAAATCTAATTCTTCATTAAAAATCTTCTTCTTATTTAAGTATATATTGTTTCTATCTAGCATAAATATAAATATTTTATTTATATTTTTAAGAAGAGAAATTTCTGGAATTTAGTGATAGACATTTTTCTTGTCTGTTCTAGGCGATTCTAGTTGTACTCAACTTTTATTCATTATGGTGAGTATTAAATATTTGTTGTTAATATAAATTTATTGTAATTTATAATTACAATTGATCTAATTTCTTATATTATTTTACCATGTAGAATAATATATTGTATATTAGGTATATTAAAAATGCATTAAATTGGAATGACATAACCTCAATGTATATAAATCTAACATAAATGATGCAATGTATAATGCTTTTTTTAGCCTAGAGAAATCAAGGAAATCAAAGATTTCCTCCTAAAGGCCAGAAGGAAAGATGCAAAATGTGGGTATTTAAGATATAAAGTTTTTCTTTACTGTTTTTATAATATAATATACTTATATTTGTTCTGATAATTTAGCTGTAAAAATCAAGAAGAATACTGACAATGTTAAGTTCAAGGTTCGATGTTCACGATTTTTATATACTCTTGTCATCACCGACAAAGAAAAGGCAGAAAAATTGAAGCAATCTTTACCTCCAGGTATTTATTTATTTAGACAAAACATATTGATGAAAAATTAGAATGATATATAATTGTATTATACTTTTATTTTAGGTCTTCAAGTAAAAGAAGTAAAAAGAAGCGAACGTATGTAATTGATAAAATAAACTAAATTCTTAAACATATGCTGTTTATTTTTTCTACCATTACACAAAAACTAGTGATTGTTTAAATTTATTCTAATTATAATTTCACTCAGTTATTGCAAAATTCTGATTAGATAAAATACATGGTTGATTTAAAAAATGCTTTCTTCTTTTAAACATACGTTGGTAAATATTCTTTCTTTCAGTTGAAGATTTGTACATCAACTTCAATTCATCATATGTATCTATACATACATTTCCACTATTGCATGCTGGCCTTTGATCATAAGGATATACATGTTGATAATTAAATCTGGTTTGACATTTCTTTGTAGTATGTTGTATCTTTTGTTTTAAATATCTCTTTAAAGAACAATACTTTCTTTGACATGGCCGAGTTTGAAGTTTTAAATACTGGGAGAATAATATTCCCAATTCATCATAGATTTCGCATATTTCTGACTTATTATCTGATAAAATAAAACTATTATTATTATTAGAAACTAATTTTTCAGATGCAGTTGGTTCTGCGATATAATTTCTAAAGGTATCAGTCTTTACTAATAAAGTATGGATGCAATTCTCATTAGAGTTTGATATTTTCCTATAATTTTGAGCTTCTTTTATATTACATCTTAAAATGTCTATAGATGACTTCATCTTTTCTTGTATTTTTTTAAAATGTGCATCAGTTAAATTTATTTCTGATTTTAATTCTTTCAATTTGTCTTTTTTAGCTCCATTAGTTTTATCTGTGATACATGTGGAAATATTGTTTGTTTTTGAGTTTATACTTAAGATTTGGTTATTTGTTATTTTAATTGTGTTAGACACGTCTGATAATGTGGAATTAATGCAAGAATTGGTTGACCTATATAAATATTTATAACGATTAATGCATTAATTTAAATAAAATTTAATAACATCTGTTAATTATCAAAAACCTTTTTAATTTGTTAAGAAACGCATTTGATAAAGTATCCAACTTATTAGCTGCAGAATCTGAGAAATATTTTGAATCAGTGGCTAAATTTTTAGCTAATAAAGAATTGGTTGATTTAACAGTAGAAATTTTGTATTTCTGTTTATTGTCATTAAGTGAATCAGTATCTTCAAATTTAAGTTCTATCAGTTTAGAACTGACATTATTTTGTCTTCTAGAGTTGTTAATATTTTCTGAATCCCATTTGCATAGTAATATGTCATCGTTTAGTGAATCTGATTTTTTTGAAGATAATGGTATTATTAAAAACTTAAGATCTGTATCTGAGAAGCAAATACTTTTGTCATTCTAAAAAGAAAATAATATATAATTCAAAAATTATGCTCATTGTAAAATTTGATATAAATCAAATTTAAATTTTATATTCGATAAGTTAATACCTGATATGAGTTTCTATAAATACTGTTTATGTTTTGAGTACTTAATTCACTAGTTTCAAAATTTTCAGGATCTTTAATATCCCATTTATTTGATATCGACTTAGGTACATCCTTAATATGAAGTGATGAGAAAGACATTTTCAAAGATAATTGTTTTGTTAAATCTATATTGTTAGTAGAAGTTTCTAATTTATTTTCACACGGAGCAAGTAATTTTTTCTTTTCCTATAAATTTTTTGTTTATACATACATATATACAAGTTATGGAAACTAAATTATCATGAATGTGATAAATTATTTGTATATAATAATTTTTAATATAATATTTTTCTTGTAATACCTGTAAAAGGGTTTTCAATTTACATCTCTTTTCATATTGTTTGATTTTTTGACTATCGTTTTTCATACGAAATTTTGAAAAATTACATATATTATTTCTTAAAAATCGTTGTTTTGCGGAACTATTTTTTCTTTCTTTTATTATAAATGAATTATCATCATCATTGGCTTTATTTCCTCGAATTAAGCTTTATGAAAGTAATATTAACATATTATCAATAAATAACATGCTACATATATATACATATTACAAATATAATGAACCTTTGGAAAATAGAAATAACTTGTCTGTATATATAACGATAGTACGTTATAGATAAAATTATTACAATCAAGATGATAAATAAGATGATAAATATTTTCCAGAAATTGTTAGAACCTTTTTCAGTTTGAATTTGATCAATATTGTTATAATACCTTATCTTGGTATCAACTTTTTCTTTGACTCCAATTCCCAACTTTTTTCTTTTGACTTGCATGTTCTCTATTATGATAGTTATGACACAAACCAGAGAATTATAAAACAAATTAATTACAGTACAAAATTACTGTTTTTAAAAATACAATTCATATATATATTTAAAACGGTCGATTTATTATTTATTGGCAGGAATATATAAATTGCAAAATAAAACATTTGAATCTATTATACGAGTTTACTTTTTTTGTTTTGTTCACAGATGTGCCATGAATATTTTGTGAAAAATGTCTAAAAATAATAAAATTCATCTTATACAATATCTATATTAGTAGAATCAATATTTCTTATGATTAGTTACATTTCATAAAATCATAATGAATACACAATGTTTGGTATAGTCCGGTCCAAAATATTGCAAGATCACATCAGTTCTAAATTATAAATCAGTCAATTATAAATAAATTGTAAATGAAATTATAAAGATTCGGATATCGAGATAAATGAATTGATAAAAATAGGGGATAAGGATTTGAAATCTTGATAAAGACTGAGTTAAGAAACTTTTAATACAAAGTGTATTTTCTATAGAATATTTAAGTACAAATCTTAGATTTGTAATCATAATTTTTTATTAATTTCACATAAGTAAAATGTTAGATAAATTTTTTTGCTTTTTTAATTCATATTTTTTTTTAGTTAAAAATACAAAACAGAATACAGTGTTGCCTCTATTAATGCGTGAAATTATAAGAAATTGCAAAGAAACTAAAAAATAATACAATTTTAGAAACAGATGAGAATCTAATGAACCTATATTTAGTATTGAAATTATGCGAGAAACAAATTTACTAATGAAGCAATACTGTATAATGTAAGTACTGTGTACGAAATCAAGATATCAATCGAAAGTTCTCTGTGATGATTGTTTTCGATCTGACTACACCTTGGCCCGCACTATACCTATTCTAAAACTACAAATTATGAATGAATTTTACATTTCGATATATATATATATATATATAGATATATATATATCAATTACAAATTATTCTCAAACATCATGCAGCTTAATTCATAATTATATTACATATACAATAAAACAGAATAATGTTTGTTTGGAGTTCATAGATAAAATATTATTCATTACTAATATATATATATACATATATTTTTAATATTTTTGCCATATTTTAAAATATTTTATTCTTACGTATATAACACAAAATATTAATGAAGTGATATATGTATATAAGTATATGCATATATATGCGTATTGAGTGAAATACAAAATATTAGAAATATCTGATATTAAATAACATATATTTTCTTAATAAATTTATTTTAATGGTAAATTTTTAGAAATTAGAATTTTTCATCATCAAATCATATACATAACATAAGAAGATAGCAATACTGTCCGTGAGTGTGTCTATAATCTAGAATCTTATTTGAGTGCTTATTGAAGGAAACATATTTTAATAAGTATTCGAGTAAACAAAAAAGAAACAACGAGAGTAAACGATATAATTCAATGCCGACAGTATTTCTCAGATTCTCTACCCAAAAACTAGTAAGGATAGCGAAACACACTTCCACGGACAATACTGTATATTTTTAATACATATATATGTAATACATACATTAGTAATCTTTAACCCTTTCAAAGAATAGAATACATGAGATTGGAGCGAACCATCAAATACCAACCTATGTTGCAACTATCGTGATTATTAAAATTTATTATGTATGAAATAAATAAACGTTACTTTCTCTAATTTATTACTGCAAATTGAAGACTGGGAAGATAAAAAGTATGTACTTTTCGAATTGCTCCCTATCATGTTATTATACTGTAAAAGGGTTAACTGCTTATATTGATATTTTTTGAAAAAGCAAATCACACATATGTACATGCATTAACATATATGTGTAAATTTTCTGTAATCATAGTTATTCAACTGTTCTGCAATCACTTATTCGTCACATTCATGATAAGTAGCTCTGTAGAATAAAGAAGATGGTTAAATTTAATCTAGGAAAAATATAAATATTTTTAAAATGACAAATGTAATTACCTTTGTTTGTCCATATTTCGTCGAGATAATCTTCTTCCATGTTCATGTGTAGTTAATGTATATCTTTTTGTATGAGGACGATTTGCTCGAAGCTCACGTGCTTCAGTAGTTTTAGCTTTTTCCACTTTTTGCATAAATTTAGCAATTAATTCTGGACAATTTAAGTTTTCTTCTGGTTCCCATGTATCATCTGCTGATGTAAATCCTTTCCAACGAATTAAGAATTCTTTTGTTTTATTTTTTTTAAAATGTACTTCTATAATTTTTTCAACTTCAAATTCTTTTTGATCATCCTTCCCACTTTTTTCTTCATCTGATAATGTTATTTGCTTACCTAATTAATAAAAATTTAATTATCTGCAGAATAATATGTAACAATTTTTTTAAATTTGCTGCAAAAGATTTATAAAATAGTACCATTTTCTGTTTGTTTTTTTACATTATTCTTAGGTTTTTTAGATTTTTTATCTACTTTCGTTACTTTATTCTTGGATGATTTTGTAGAACTGTCCAATTGCTTTGAATTGCTTGAATTATCCTCTTCATTTTCTGCATTTTCAGCTAAATACTCTTCTATTAATTCTAAACAATTCAGATCTTTCTCTTGTTCCCATGTATCAGAATTTTCGTCATATCCTTTCCATCTGACCAAAAATTGACGTCGACCTTTAATGGTACGTTGACCTACAATTTTCTGTACCTAGATAATTAAAATGTCAATTATATTCAAACACAATGTAATTACTATTATATTGCATGCTAATCTTACATAAAAATTATTTTTGAATTGTTTAAACAACCGATGAAAGATAGAAAAACAAACTTGCTTTTTTAAAGAGAAAAAAATTATTCTTATATATATTTTGTTCCAGATTTTTTATTTATACACGGTAACAAATCAATTTAGCTATGATTAAATTGCATTAAAAATAAATGGCATTACATGAGTATTAAAAGTGATAATATATCATATATATCCATATATATATTTTTTTTTATACATGCATGTATATATATATAAACATAATTATTAGATAAATTTTAATAGAAATAATTTCTTTAGAAGATGAATAGCTGTTCATTTTATATACTGAAAATCATTTGCTTTACAGTCAAGATTTCTGTCAGTTGATTCAATAACTATAGTCAACAGTGTATACCTAAGTTATGCATTCTTGTGTAGTACATATAATGAACACAATAAATATAAGATTTAATATACCTCATACTCTTTTTCATTGTTTCCGTCTTGCTTTGTTAAAGAAAAGCCTTTTTGAGTCTCTCTTTTGAGTTTCTTGCTCGGTCCAGGTTTTCCGACATTCTTAGTTTCTTCTCCCGTATCTGCAGCTTGAGTATCTTCTACTTCAGAATTAAGAGCAGAATCTTCAGTTGTTTCTTTTTGACGGGTACGAGCTGGGCGCTTTTTCGCTGTACCTCTGCGTTGCGATTCCGTATTCTTGTTTTCCTTTCCTTTCTTCATTTCGTCGTTATTGTCGCTTATGGTTAAATGCCTGACGCCATTTTCCTCAGAATCGCTACCACTAGTTTCAGATTTGCTACGCTTGGTTTTCATGCTCAATCTACGCATATTATTTTTACAGTCGACAAGAAAATTTTTATATTTTCAATAATGTCCATACATATATAATATGTACTCTCTTATATATACAAACCGGAATAATTTTATTCCGCGTTCCCGCAAACAATTCAGGAGCAGTTTGGTGCATTACACAGGAAGTTTTGAAGTATCATATCAAAGGAAAGATTTTGATTTAATCACAAAGATAACGACTGTACGCATTTTTTAGCTTGTTTCAAAGCATTAATCGAATTTTTATGCATATGATTCTATTAAAACTTAAATATCACAATGCCGTAAAATAATTTCAAATAATTTTGTTTTAACCCCATGCAATTTTATTTTTTGAAAATTACATTCTTCGAAAGTGGAATTTTTTAATGAAAAGATTTTAGTTTAAGTTTAAGGTACAGATATTATATTGATATTTTTTTACGAATAAAAAATCGGATTTACATTCAAATTTTTATTTGTTGCATAATTTATAAACATTACTTTGAACATATCGTAACTTATATATTTAACAAAACACACAAGGTGATTTAAAAACCAATCTTTCCGGAAAAGAGAAAGTTATTTATTAAAATAAAAGATATATATTATATAGATTTTTGAAATTTCATTAAAATGAAATAAATTATACTTTTACAAAGTTACAATTTACAATCTTAATTATGCAATAGAGACCCTATTCATTTATTAAAAACTATAATTTAATGAATGGCTCTTCGCCGACATTATGGAGCCAGAAAATGTCATTGTTTATTTTTTCAAATTTTTCCTTTTAAATTTTTGTTTTTATTACAAAAATTTTGATTAAAATTTTTTTGTATTTTAAATTAAAGATTATAATAAGGATTCCAAAATTTTTTTAACACTCAAAATAACAAAACAAAAAAAAAAAAAATTAGACGAAGAAATGAAAGACCCATAATGCTGCTCGTGTAGTAAAAAACTATGTTTCTGACAAAACATATTAATAATGTAAATTTATTCAATTTTTATACTGGATTTTTTCCTTATTTTCCTTGTTAAGATAAATTATTTAAAAAATTTAAAAAAATTTACGAAATTATGAATAGAATAATGTAAGTGGAATAAAGTATTATTAAATCAATATTTCGTTACTTTGGTAACCGAACGGCAGTTTCTTATACCTGATAATATTAAACTAGTACTTTGTACGATTTGTATAACTTTAACATTTTATTATTGTTTTTGTTTAAATTATGGCTAAGTCTGTAACTACATATGAAAAACCTTTACCACACATAAGTAAGTTTTGTCATATTACAAATGCTAATATTTAATTCTTTTCACAAGATTTTCATCTCTACTAATATATTATATGTTATACATGATAAGAATAAATTATAATATCCGAATATTTCTGTATAAAATATAAAACATTTATTTTTATAATAGGTTTAGCAGATTGGTATGCTAAGCAATGGGAACTTCAACAAAATGCATCTGTTAGAAGTGCAGAGGCATTTGAATTAAGAAATGCAGGAAAAATTATTTGTTCAGAGACAATGGTAAAAACAATATGGGACACATATATGAATAATACTCGTCTTGCAGATAGGTAATGAATAACTTAAGTCACATCTAAAAAATATCTTTAAATTTTGTATTATAAAAATGTATTTATAGAGTAACAGAATTATCACGTTGGAGAGAATTACTTCAAAGTTTGTTAAATAAATTAAATACAGAGATAAAGTTCTTACAAGATGAGAAAATTGACACAGAGAAAGAATTAGAAACCCTAAATTATCCATTACAATTAATAGCAGAATGTATTTCCATGAGAGATTGTCGTAGAGGAACAGAACTTACATATGATGAAGCTGATACAGAATTGAAAAAAGAACTTTGTATCATTGAAAATGTTAAAAAATCATTAACTGATAGGTATGAATATAAAAAAAACTGTGCATGTATCTATAAATATATCTTTTTAATGACATATTTCATGTAGAGTGCAAGCTGCATGGGAAAAGTTAAATCGTTTAGAAGAAGTTAGATTTCAAATGCAATTAGAAATAGAAGATAAAGATGAAACTATTAAAATAGAGAAAGAAAATCTTGATTTAGATCAAACATGTGCAAATATTAGCTATAAACCAAATGCACTAAGAACTCCAAAAGGGTAAAAATTAATATTTACGTGCAATATATGAAATAGATAGTATAAATATCTATTTTATTGCAGTTCTATATCATACGAAGCTTGGTTGGAACATTGCCGTTATATTAAAATGTTAGGTGATAATGAATTAAGTGATGTATATAATTTCCGCGAAGCTATGAACGTAATGCGTGAACGTGCTAGAAATGATATTAAGGCTCAACAAGACGTAACAGATTTCAGTTTACGAAAAAGAATTTATCAGACACAAAAAGCCAGGAATGAATTAGAATGGCAAAAGCTTAAAGTAGTAACTTTTAGAAGTAAACTGATCATTGATATTTAATACATATACGAATTGTATTCAAACATAATTCTTTCAGATCCAAAAAGAAATGGAAATTTTACAAAAAGAAATAGTACGACTTGAAAATGCATTAATGGATAAAATTGATTCGATAAAATGCGCAGAGACACGATTAGAAAATCGTACTTACCGTCCTGGTTTTGAACTTTGTCGCGACGAAGCTGAATTAGGTTTGAAAGACGAAGTCTTACACTTGCGACAAACTGAAAAAGATTTAACAAGAATGTTGGAAAATTCAAAGTATGCAGAATAATATATAATTTATCTGATGATATAATTAAAATATTATATGTATAAATATTTAATATATATTATTTTCTAGAGGTGCATATAACAATTTGGAAAGCTTACTTTTGCAAGTTGACGGAAATATAGATGATAAACAACATTCTTTAGCGACAGATGTTATGTGTTTAGATATGAGAGCAACATTAAAAACAGGAGATAGAACACGATTGCCGAATGAAACAGACCGTAATATTGTTCTTACACGTATGGAAAAAGAGATACCACTTGAATCATAAGTGAATTATAATATTTATACAAATTTATTAAGAGCGTTCATTGAATACATAAAATGTCTTATTTATGTAGTATTTAATGATGACTCCATTATACACAATAAACTAATTGCTTATATGCTTATGCATCAGTGTTAATAGTATCTGGTTTGGCTTTAATTAAACTAAATTCTGAAATAAATGAATCTGTCAATACTGGTTCTAAAGTTTTTACTGCTCTTCCATGTAATTCTCCAGTTTTCTTTGGATCGCCATGTTTCATTTCAAATGTCATATAATTTATCCAAACACTTGTATTATTTTTACCAAATTGCAAAACTGACATTTCATTGCATTTTCTTACACGTTTCAATGATATTTCAGGTTGCATAAGTTCTAGTTCTATCATCTTTTTGTGCATTTCAAGAGAAAAAGGAGGTTGTAAACAGAGATTATCATAAATTTTTCTTGCAGCTTGTATGTCTAAAATAAACAATGATTATGATCTTAAATATATATATATATATCTTTACAATTTATAATTACGTACTTTTTGTTAAAACTAGCCACTCAATGTAAATAACTTTTATCTCTTGAATAATAGTTGGTTTTGTTTGCAAAGCTGCTTGGAAAACTTGTTCAGTTTTTTCAGGACACTTTGCTTGCATATACAGTATTTTTATTTTCCACAAAGGCAATGATTTTTCTGCAAGAATTTGTATTGCCTAAAAAGTTATCATGTTTATATGTGCATAATATCACTGAACAACTAAAGCAATCATCAATATTTCTGTACCTTAGAAAATACAGTTTCAGCTTCTTCTTCTTCTCCAGAAGCAAACAAATATTTTAATCTAGCATGCCAAAGATTTACACTATCTGGTATAGTTTCAGTTGCAACGCTCAGAATTTCTTTTAATTTTTTTTCTGTAGTTTCATCTTTCTTTTCAGCATTCAATATGTTGATCTGTAGTGAAATTATTACATATTAAATTATTTAATTCTTTATTTGATATAATGTTTTCACGCGATACTTGTCAAATTTATTACTAACCCAATGTAAATAATATTTTTCTTTTAATTTTTTTGCTTGGTATGCCTGTGATAGTGCAGTTTTTAGTAATTTTCTTTTAAAATTTGGTAGAGATAGAGTTCCCGTTTTCTGATTAATTTCTATTAAACATTCTATATACAAAGACCACATTTCTTCAGTTTTAATTTTTTTAACTGCAGTTTGATAAACTTTATTACAAGCCGTTATACGATCTCTTAATGAAGTTTGTTCTGAACTATCAACTTGCATTACTGCATTACTAAGAGAAGGTTGAACAAGTCCTTCTAACTCTCGTCGAGCCATTGTATCCCACATCAGGGGTTCATGAGTATATTCTTCTATCATGTCACTGAAAAAATTTAAATAACTCAAATTGAAGATAATCAATAATTTAAATATATTTTTATTGTTTTTACCTAACGATTTTATTTTGTAACTTTTCTGTGTTATTATAATCCTTTGCAATATTCAATAATTCTATTATAAATTTAATATCTTTGATACGTTTTGATGCTTGCTGATATATGATATAAGCTCGTTTTAGTCCAATAGACATATCATTGTCAGTTTCAGTTGATACTGTATTGTCACCACTACTTTCATTTTTCTGATCATTAGTTGACACCTCATCTAATTCTAATCTAAGTCATAAAGTATAACAATAATAATAATCATAAAGTATAAATATAATATTAATAATATATGAAAAATTTATAGTAACTTACTTAAAAGCATCAGTAAATAATAATTGAGAAGTTGGATGTATATGTAAACCCCTAAGAAAGAATTGACGTGCAGTCTCTTTATTTTTATTTTCTTCTAATTCCCAACATGCAGCAATATGCCAACATTTAGGTTTATCTTGATGAACTTGCAACATTTTGCCTAACATGTGACTAACATTGTTGTGGAAATGCTGTCATATTTTATATTAATATTTGTAAAGAAGAAGAGAAATGAATAGTTTTAATAAAAAAATATTTAAACAATTTAAATACAAACAATACTTAAATACTTACAAAATGCTTACAAAATTTTATGTAAGCAATCCAGAAACGAATATCATCTTGAAATTTAAATATTGCATCTGTATATAAATGGTTCATTTTATTTGTAATAGTGTGCTCGATATCTGACTTCTTTTGAGTAATACCAAATTTCTAAATAGAAATAACACACACACATACATATATATATATGTAACTAATTTATAGTTATAATTAAAGAATTATTTATTAATATATAATAACGTACATCTCTGCGTTGCTTAATTAATTTAAGTAGATCCATTTCATACTGTATGTACTTTAAATAATCTTCTTTAGTTTTTGTATGTCGTTGAATTTTATATTCATATTCTTTAAGTTTCTTTGCAACTGCTCTATGTAATTCATAGAAATATGAAACAATTTATTCAAAGTAAACAATGTGTCAAAAAGCATAACTTAACCTAATTTTTTTACCGAATTTCATGTTTATCAAAAAGTTTAATCCTTTCCATCTGTTCTAATATAGGAATCATATCCTCGCATCTTTTTTCTACAAATTCCGCCATTTTTTAAAATCAACGTAATATGATTTAGTAATTATAATTAATAAACACAATAGAAAAATGTTTGACACGTGCAATTAAGCGATAACACAGTCTGTGATCTGTGAGTGTGAGCATTGACTAATAGAATTCTCAGGTCAATGGTGCCACCACTGTACTGAATCGATAATGTCGTATGCGACACGAAAATGGTAAAAGAATGAAGTGACTTCTAAAACGTAGAATACGAAAAAAACATTGAAATTGTATCTCGTTTCTAGTTTATCTACACGTAAGTTCGATAATTTTAATGTAGTTTTATAAATCGGTATTGTTGGAAATGACAATAAAGGATCTTTAATAATTCTGAGAATGGGGTTGCTAAGTCTATCCTTTATTTTATCTATGTTTTGGCGCGTTTTTTTCAGTCGTTTTGTAATTTCGAAATACCGAATACACTTTTTATCGTTCAAGTGTTCAGTAAAATACGAATATAAAGTTCATTTAACGATAATATAAGTTTTAACAAAGTGAACGGTTTTGTTTAGTGTCCGTGCGTATTAAATAGAATCGTCAAAATATGATAAAATATTTGAATAATACCAGTGGATATAATAATTTTAGTGAATGTCTTTATACATCAACGTAACTTATTTATACATCAGGTCACATTTTCCCGTTTTTATTAAATAAGTTTTCACGACTTTTAATAACTTGTACAACTTTGTAAGTCAAAGTTTTTACAATTTTACAAACGGTTAATGTGACTGATTATTTAAATTAGTTAAACCGTGGTTTGTTATAATAAAGAAGTTGAGTTGATACCACATGTTAAAAGATACAAGTTTGAACGAATATCTATAATAAATCTATATAAAAGTCTCTCTTCCTGTCCAAGTGTAAAATAGTATGTGCAATTATTATAACCATGAAGCGTCTAATTGAACGGATCTTCGAGGATATTCCTATCTACGATAAAAAATGGAGAGAACGACATGTGGTGAATGATTATTTGAGGGCTGACTGGCAATCAGCGGGGCGCTCAATTACGTTACCCTTAATTATCGAGGAGTTTCGACATAAAATGTGAGATGGCGGCAGCTATTGCTGCGGCGCAAACGAGTCGGCGATCGACACGGTTGTGCCATCCATGATGGCTGAGGCAGTTTCCGAGATTTCGGGCACGGTGTCGTGAGTACGTGTCCTCTTTGTCGCACGTTTAATCGCTAGTGAGGCTCATCTGCAGGACAAAAGGATCCTGGAAAGAATGACAGACAGTCCAGCGGCACTCGTAAGTGTTGTCACTGTCTATTAAATTTTCTAGAGTCAAGTATTCCGGACCCTCCGTTATCCGTTAGGTTACCTCATTGAAGAACATGCGCGCATCTAGGGCTTCGTTCGTGTTTACGCATCGGTGATCGTCGTACAACGATGAAATTCATTGCTTGTTGCTATTTCGCCTCTTTCCGAGCCCGTGCAATCGGTTGGAGTATCTGAAAGAACTAATCACGACCGAGGACGTGCAGTACACGTCCGATGTGGCGTAACGCGCAAACGCGGAGCAGAGGTTCGTTGCCCGTTCTCGTTTGACGTCACTGGCTGATAGCGGTTGTCACCTGTTCCAGTTGGCAGTGACGTCACGGATAGCTGTGACGTAATCGTAAAGATCGCTCGCTCGGTCATATCGCATCGGCTCTGTTTACTATTACCTACATGACAAGATAATTTGTTAGATAACTTACTCCAACGCATTAATGATACTCCGACTTCTATATTTACTCCGCATTTACTTGCATTATTTATAGACCCGCTGACATTGTTTTAATTGCGACGATAGGATCGCGTTTCACGATGCCGTATACACCCTCCGTATTGATTTCGCGTTTAAACACCTGCTGCGGACTACGTTACAGTAGATAATTCATTGGTGCAAGAATTTCGAAACTACCTCCCTTCGACATTCGATTTAACACTAAACGTACCGAAGTGGGGTCAAATGACCCCTTTTCAAAATTTACTTTAAAATCGTACGTTCGTTGTTATTTCTTTCGCTAATTTGACTTTTTGTAAATTATAATAATTCTTATATTATCTGATTATTATCTGATTATTCAATTTCTCGTTTTCTCTTCTTCTCTTAGCTTATTTTTTACCGAGGAAAATTCTTTGCATACCTTATGTACC